GAAAGAAGTTATGGTGGTGATGATACGATGCCTAGGGCACAGATTATATATATGTATATCTGTATGTATATATATATGGGCAATGCCCAAGAGAAGAGAGTGGGCTTCAACCCAAGAACCTGTTAGGCCCCAGCGGAGTTGAGATCCACTTCTTAACAATCTCAACTCAAACTCAATTATTTCAAGACAGATTCAAGACGGATTAATTTTTGTCAACCCTAATCTTCATTATATATTTCTTCCATATGTTTTCCTTATAGTAACTGATTTCTATGATAATGAATTTTATCCTAGAATACAAGTTATAATATAATACATTTGCAATACAGTAGTTATAAAATACCAAAAATATATATATATATATGCATTAATCAATAAAAAAAATATATTATTTAAAACTTATCTCTATTATATTCATTTTTTATACAATATAGTTCGTTAATCACCAAAGAAATACATGCTATACTACATATTATCGTTTGTAATATCATAAAATATAATAAAGTGAAAAATTAATTTAAAATTTACTTTCACAAACAATTCCACAAAAAAAAAAAAAAGTAGTTCAAAGAAGATAAAATATAATAGGTGAAATATGGGGTTGAAATATTAGGAAAGTGGGGTTTTGGAAGAATGCTAGTTGTCTGTTGTGTTTGTGCGGTTTTTTTTTTTTTTTTTCCAAAAGTACGTTTGGGTAAAGCCCCGGCCAAATCTAATACCCTGTAAACTAAGTCCAACAAGGTAAGTCACACTAGACGAACTATATGTGACAGGTAAATCTGCAGGCGTCGGGTTTAAACCCATCATCTTACGGTCACAAGTTCACTCACCACACCACTAGGTCATCCCTTACGGGACATGTGGGGCTACAGTTAAAAGAGGTTAAACACGACCGTGTTTGCCAAAGTTAAAATCAACTAGTGATGTGAGACGAAACACAAGCGTGTTTTGTAAAAAGACGATCGTGTTTAAACACGCCTACAAAAACGAGTGTGTTTTGCTGATGAACACAAGCGTGTTTAGATCAGTCAGGATGGTGGCTGGTCAGTCGGTTTATCACGGCCATGTTTGATCCGACTCAGTTGCTGAATCAGTGCCCATAACAGCCACATCAGCATAGTCCATTAAAATATGAACAATGAAACTAAAAATGATGAGTTTTGTTCGGTGGGAAGCTAGTTTTATACATACTTTTTAGTGGACCAAGAATGAAAAGAATGAGGTTGAATGAGATTAGAAATGATTTTTATTTTTTTTTTTATACTAATTACGAAAATTTGTATTGGTAATATAAAAAATAATATTTTATAAATTAATAAAATATATATTATATATATTTTTAATATGTATATATTGTATTTTTTTAATAATATTCATCGCCCAAAAATACTAAGGTTTGTATTCTTTTATGCATTTTACCATAAGTTTTACTATTCAGTTCTTTTTTTCATCTAAAAATATCACATTAAACAATTCTTTTTATTTTTCTTTTTTGTTTTATAGAATTACACTAAAAATTTATTTTACATTCAAAATATCACGTCACTCTCTATTTATATCACATCAAACTACTATTCAAATTCAACTTTTTACTATTCAAAAATTCAAACCCAAAAACTAAAACCCATGAACAAACACACCATAAGTAAACATACCTCTATAAATACATATATATATATATATATTTATCATTTAATACATAAACTATTGCTTGATATATAAGTATTAAAAAATGTTAACATCATGCTAATGGGTAAACTGTTTTTTTAGTCCCGTAACTGGACCCCCTTATCATTTTAGTCCCGTAAGTGGAGTCTGTCGCAAACTAGTCCCATGAGTGAAAAATTTTCGCTGTTTTAGTCCTTCGGCGCCGGAGACGCCCGCGTGGCTCGCCGGAGGTGACGTGTCCACTAGGTCAGCGACACCTGGCGCTGACCTGGCGGACACGTGGATTTTTTTTTTTATTTTTTTATTTTTTTTAATTTTTTTTAAAACTTATTTTTAATTTTATTTATATATTTTTAATTTTTAATTTGATTTAATTTTAAAAAAATTAAAAAAATTGAAAAAAATAAATAAATCCACGTGTCCGCCAGGTGTCGCTGACCTGGCGGGATACCTGGCAGACATGTCACCTCCGGCGAGCCACGCGGGCGTCTCCGGCGCCGGAGGATTAAAACAACGAAATTTTTTCACTTATGAGACTAGTTTGTGACACGCTCTATTTACGGGACTAAAATGATAAGGAGATCCAGTTACGGGACTAAAAAAACACTTTACCCTATTTTATATAATTTAAATTGTTTTATAATGAATAACATGGTTAATTTTAAAATAAATTCAATAATATTTACTCAAATATTCTAAATGTAAATAATAATAATATTAATAATAATAATAATAATAAAATTCAGAATAAATTTACTATTATATTCAGAATTAGAGTTAAGAGTAATTGTCAAGCCCGTTGTAATTTGACCCAGTAATAAGTTAGGCCTTTGCGTCCAACAATTCTTTCAAATCTTTCTTATTAGGGGTTAGGTGGAAGCACGTGCACCCCCACCACGTGCACGTGACATATCGTCGTGATCATTTCAGCATTCCCCAACTTCCTCCATACAAATGCTAATTATACATACAACGGTAATGCTCCGCCTCCGCCGCTCTTTTCTATCAAGCGGTATAGTGCCGCCGATCGTAATTCGTATATGTTTGTTTATTTTTAGCGTTTGGTTTTGGGATATCTACTCCCTCCGTGCTAGAACTATATTTTTAATTAGATTGGACATGAAATTTAAAAAATATTGATATTATAGTGGTAGTTGGTAAAAAATAAAGATAAAAAACTTTTTTCGTCCTTTCGAGTGAATTAAGGTAAAAAATAGTGACAATTGTATAATCAAAATAAAAAAAGTAGGGGTAGTTTAATAGTGATATGGTTATTTATGAAAATAAGACTATTATTTTGAGACTAACAAAAATGGTAAACAAGACTATTTTATATTGGGACAGAAAGAGTATATCTTTTTTAATGCGTACTAGATAAATCTCATCAAATCTAAAAGCGTCCGAATTTGAACCTATAGCTTCGTATTGATAAATTCAATCTTACACCAATAGGTCTTATTTAACTTTTTTTTTGGACTTACTGAATTAGTTCTAAATAATGAGTTTTTTTGGTAAAGGAAAATAGTTAGATTCCTTCTTTAGTCCAGGCCCAATTCTCATTCCTAATCCTTATCCCCTTGAATAATAAGATTTTTGAATTGGATTAGTAATATAATGTAATATAAATATGTCACTGATTTGATATTTTGGATGTAAAATTGATTTTTAATATAATATAAAAAATAAATATTTAATTTGATATTTTTTGAGGAAAAAAATTAAGAAAAAGTAGAAATTTGGAGGAATACCCCAAAGGAACATACCATTTTAATGTGTTCTTTTATAAATTTTACCATAAATTTTTACTATAAGTTTTTACTATACAAATTCTTTTTTCTATTTAAAAATATTATAACAAACAATTACTTTTATTTTATTATATTATATTATAATATAATTTTATTTTACATTTAAAACATCTTATAAATATATATTTATATCACATCAAACAACTATTTAACTTCAACTTTTTATTATTAAAATATCCAAATAAAAAACTAAAACCAGAGGTTTTTCGATGAGTGAAGAATCTACCTCCGCCTTGCGGCGTGGTTACCTCGATCGGGCTACTCTCGCACCATGGATTCTGAGCTAAAAATCGTCGTTTCTTAGCCGATGAAAGATTGAGAAAGATCAGAGAAGAATCGGGGCTGTTCAAAGTCGAGTTTGTCGTCGGAGGAGCTGCCGGTCGCCGGAAGGACTGCTGTCGCTGCCACCGTCGACCGCCGCTGTCCAGTTCTGGTCATCGGAACTGCTTGAGAGCCGCCACCTCTAATCGCTGATTGAAATCGTCGGCTGAATCGATCTCGTCGTTGATCGCTTCTGAAATTTCATTCGGCAGTCACGCGAACAGGAAGACAATTTTTAATTCTTCTGCAATTGAGTCTGCATGCTTTGATTTCCATTTAGTGACCTATTTGTTTGTGTTTGTTTTTCCTCAATTTCCAGAATGTGTTTTTAGCTTTAGGGTGTGTTTGTTTGGGGTTTGGATTCTGAGTTGGGATTTAAATAGTAAAAATTTGAATTTGAATAGTTGTATAACATGATATAAATAGGTATTTATGTAATGTTTTGAATGTAAAATTGATTTTTAGTATAATATAAAAAATAAAAAATAAATGTTTAATTTGATATTTTTTAAAGAAAAAAATGAGATGAATAATGGATTTAAAATCCAATCCCCAAACAAACACAAATTTCTTTTAGTTTTGATTTTGGTATTAATATTTGTTATGGGTTTATTCAATTTAATTGTTTCCACCTTTGTATAAGTCCAAAATTCGGGGAATAAATTCACAATAATAGGTTTACTTGAAAACTATATTTTTGTAAATGGTTATGGTATTTGCTATATTATAGTAAAAGTAGATATATTGAAACATAAATACTCTCTCTCTCTCGTCCACAAACTAATGTCTTTTTTTTTTTCTTTTTTATTATGTAAAACGTTCAGCAACTATTATTTTCTTTACTTTTTTATTCCATTCACTTATCACTTTAAATCTCTACTTTATCATTCATTTATCACTTTAAATATCTACTTTACCATAAATGCTAAATTTTCAATTTATAACAAAAAAAAATAATTATCCAAAAAATTGTTCAAATATTCTTTAGAATAATAAAAATCGGACGAAATGGAGTATTAAATAAGAAAAATTATAATTAATTAAACTTATTTTTGAAATTTTTTGAAAAATTAATAATATTGAAATTCATGTATAGTTTTCCTAATGCATTTTTTTCACCTGTGCATATAAGTGTATATATTTATCGATCATAACAGCCCACTGTGACATAATCCCGTTTAGAGAATATAACTACAATATATTTCAAATTTACAATAAATGGTGCTTAAATATCCAAAAAAAAATAAAAATAAATAAATAAATTCATATATTAACATTAATGATACAAGTGTCACAAAAAGTTGGGAGATTTTTTTATATATATATATATATAGAATTAACATAATTTTTTTTTAATAACGAACCCGCAGTTGCTATTCTCCGAGTGCGCTGTGGGTAAACTCGAACCATGTGAGTCAGATAAGACTTGGAGGCTACATCATTAGGCCACGGGGCTTTAGAATTAACGTAATTTTCACAATGTAGTATATTTTTATTCTTTCTTTCTCTGTTGCAAGCAAAGCATAAAACGGTAGGATAAGATGTGAAAGCGACCTCCATCAATTATACGGACCATAAAGAGGATTACCGGCAAAAAAAAGAGCAAGAACAATCTAATGAGCTGTTGCGGCACAAAGTTTGGACGAAAACAATTAAGCATCACCCGGGAAACTGCAACGGAACGGGCTAGTGACCCCTTTGGATGCAGCATCAATAGCCTAGGCTACCTTAGATGATTTCATAGACATTTTTACAATTTCAATGTATGAAAAGACATGTTTCTTTTGTGAGAAAAAAGAATCATAAATAAAAATGTCCAGGAAATCATCTAAGGTTGCCACAATCTGCTACATCCAAAGTTGAGAGTATCCCCTTCCGTAAAAGTTCAACGGATCATGCTTTGGTATTTTCGTCCAAATTTCGTGACGCTTACAGCTCATTGAATTGTACCTACTCTCTCAATCCGCCTCCCACCTTTCTGTGGTACTTACGATACTTGATGCGGTCCAACAACTAGTGCAACAATAATTTTGTTTGATCATCCTAAAAATGATAAAATTAAGAAAATATTTACACAACAAACAAGACAATATTCAAACGTGTCATCAACATGATTTTTTAAAAAGGAAAATATGTCTAACCGCAAGAAAACCCAGAACTCTATTAGATTGTTCTGGAGTTAGGAAGTGGGAGACAAAAATGGATACACTGAAAGCACTTCCTACGAGTAATGAAAATAAAAAGTTAGTAAAAATTACAGACAACCTAATATAAGTCAACAAGATCATTACATAAATCTCAATACCTGCAAAAGTACGAATATTGGACCAAATGAAAACCATAAAAGTGCGGCTAAATATCGAAAATCACTTTCTTTCTGTTGGAACATAAACAGAGCTCATCAGCCAAAAAAACAATTAAACCTAATATCCAATTAATATTGGCTTATGTTGATCAAATAAAAACATATCAGTTCTTAGCTTTAAAGAAGCTAAATTAGTTACCATTTCATATACATTCCATTATCATAACCCTATTCAGAAATTTGTTTACTTAATAAAGATCTAAAAACTCGAAAATAATTCTTAGTTTTCAAGAAGCTAAAATCAATGACTATTTCATTTTCACCTCAAAATTAAGCTCAATCAACATATAGCCAAATCATAAACATATGTTAACAGGTAGATCTTTTCCCAATTGTAAAATTTTCCCTAATTTTTTTAAAATAAAGAACAGATATAGCAAACATAGACACAACTGTCAATAATCAGTGTTAAAAACAAAATCTAAATATACAAATCTTAAATGATAACGCTATATACCTCAACAATTTTGGATTTTCGGATAAAAAAATTTGCTCTGACGCTGAACAGCGAAGAGGTAGAGCACCAGCCGCGGCCGCCCTCAACGCAAATTTAGATGATTTCCTGGACATTTGTTTTTTTCTATATTCAATCAACAAGATCTGGTCGGAGCATTTTTGTTGTAGGGTGAGCGACCTTGCGTTGTGTTCTTGGTGAATTAGGGGGTTTGATGAAATCCGTCGATGACTGCGAGGTTAAAAAGCCATAGCGTTTTCAAAGTACGATGGGAAGGCGATGACACGTGTCGGAAATATGTCAGCATTTCATTGGGTTATGGGCTTTGGCATATGATTTGGATCTAAGATATAATATAGATATTTAGACCGTTCAATAATTTAATTTTAAATTTCTAAAAAGGTAAATAAATCATTTTAGAAAATAAAATATTATACAATTAAAAATAGGGTAAGCATTTGTTTTCGTTATAGATAAATAGTAGGTACAATAAATTTTAAAGAGTAAATTGTTTATTTTTTTTTTTCATAACTAAATCTCCTTATCATTTTAGTTTCATAAGTGGAGTCTGTCGCAAACTAATCTCATAAGTGAAAAAATTTTGTTGTTTTAGTCCTCCGACGCTGAAGATGTCCGCGTGGCTAGCCGGAGATGACTTGTCCGCCAGATGTCGCTGACCTGGCGGACACGTGGATTTTTTTTATTTTTTTTAAAACTTATTTTTAATTTTATTTGTATTTTTTTTATTTAGTCCAATTAAAAAATAAAAAATAATAAAAAAAAAAAATAAATCCACGTGTCCGCTAGGTGTCGCTGACCTGGCGGGATACCTGGCGGACTCATCACCTCCGGCGAGCCACGCGGGCGTCTCGGGCGCCGGAGGACTAAAATAACGAAAAAATTTCACTTATGGAACTAATTTGCGACATGCTCTACTTACGGAACTAAAATGATAAAGGGGTGCAATTACGAGACTAAAAAAAACAGTTTACTCTGAAATTAATAACATTTTAATATATACATAAATAATTTAGTTAAATGAAAAATCCAATTCAAGAAACGGTGCATTTATAGTAATAAAAATACATAGCAGGTATAACAAATAAAATAACATTTTTACACTTGTGCCATTAAAAAAAAAAAAGATAATTATTTATAGTAATTATGGATAAATAGTAAGTACAATAATTGGAATAATATTTTAGTAAGTATAATAATTGGTATAATATTTTTTAGTAAGTGCAATAATAGGTATAATAATTTATCTCTTCAAAAAAAAAAAAAGTATATGAATAATTTGAATTATAAAATTCAAAAATGAATAAGCACTTATAGTAATAAATAGAATACTAGTAATATCTTATGATGATCTACAATCAAATAAATAAATTACTTAAATGAAAAATTCTGCAATTAAAAAAAAAAATGTATTTACTGTTAATAGAATTGCTAATAGTCCATGGCATTTGAATAAATTTTTAAAAAACAGTTTTTGAAAAAGGACGATTTGTATGTAATAAAATTAAAAATGTTTATAAAGGGTTAAGCTTACCGAAAATGACTTATAATTAATATAATTCTATTTTTCTATAAATTTTTTAAAATTTTATTAATTATATTTAAAGATTTTAAATTATCTAGTATAAAAAATTGTATTTTAAATTTTGATTATTTATATTTTTAAAAATTTAATTTAAAAATAATATATAAATTAAAAATAAAATTAAAATTCAATATTAAATTATTTGTATTTTATAATTTATAAATATAATTTAAAAAATTATATTTTAAATTTAATATCTTAATTATTATTTTAAATTTTAATTTAAATATAACATAGGTAAAATGTTTTTTTAGTCCCGTAACTGGACCCCTTTATCATTTTACTCTTGTAAGTGGAACCTGTCGCAAATTAGTCCCATAAGTGAAAATATTTCAATATTTTAGTCCTTCGGCGCCGGAGACGCCCGCGTGGCTCGCCGGAGGTGACGTGTCCGCCAGGTGTCCCGCCAGGTCAGCGACACATGGCTGACACGTGGATTTTTTTAATTTTTTTTTAATTTTTTTTAATTGGACCAAATGAAAAAAATATACAAATATGCAAATAAAATTTAAAATAAATTAAAAATAAGTTTTAAAAAAATTTTAAAAAATGAAAAAAAAAAATCCACGTGTCTGCAGGTCACGCTGACCTGGCGGACACGTCACCTCCGACGAGCCACGCGGGCATCTCCGGCGCCGGAGGACTAAAACAGCGAAAATTTTTCACTTATGGGACTAGTTTGCGACAGGCTCTACTTACGGGACTAAAATGATAAGGAGGTACAATTACGAGACTAAAAAAATAATTTACCCTATAACATATAAATTTAAAAAAATAATACAATTATATTTTTTATTTTTCTTAAAATATAGTAAAATATAAATTAATTTCTTTTTTATTATATTTATATTAATTATTATTAAAAATAAAATAGTTATTTTAATTGAAAAATAGTTTTACTTCAAATTCCTATTATATAATTTTTTTTATAAGAAAAAGCTAAAGAACTTATGCCAAAAACAATTCAAACGAAACTCAATCAAACAAAGTTAAAAAGCTAAATTTGACAGGATTATGTTCTAACTTTTAAAATTTGAGTGTATTCAATTAAGATTTTTAAAAAATTACTTTTAAACGTTATTTAAAATCTTAGGTACTCAATAAAAATTTTGATATTCAACAATCCACTTTGAGAATCTATGGATTTTAATGGAAAATTGTGAAAATTTTGTATAAGATAGAACCTCTCGTGATTAGCAGAGATTTTGATGGATTCTTAAAATTATTATTATTATTATTATTATTATTGTTATTATTTTTTTTGGATGACGTGGGAATCCGCAGCTGCTATCCGATTATTATTATTATTGTTATTTGTTGTTCTTGTTCTTGTTGTTGTATATGTGATAAATAATACTCCCTCCGTCCCAAAACTATAGTCTGGGTTGTGTTTGGTACGAGATTTAAGGAATATTGGTATTATATTGATAGTGGGTAAAAAGTACGTGTAAAATACTTTTTTTTGCCTTTATGAGTGTATTAGTATAAAAAGTAGTGGCAATTGTGTAATAATGATGAAAAAGTAAGTAATTTTGAAAATGAGACAATTGTTTTTGGACGGACAAAAATGGTAAACATGACTATTATATTGGAACGGAGGGAGTATGATAATATTTATTAATATTATTATAATTTTTAATAAAAATAATAATTTAAAACTAAAATATATTAGCAAATTTTTATGAATTTTTTTAAATATATGTTTTTATATTATAAATATAATTTTAAAAAATATTATTATATGTTGGATCCTGAAATTCGGAGGTTCCAAGAATGTTCGTTGATTTGTCGGTGTGGGTTCCGGAAGTACTCCAAAGAGCCTGTCCGTCGTCGGATTTTGGACGGCTCCTTCGGTGGAGCCTGCACAGCTTCGATCTTACATGAGACTTCGAGCCTAAACGACCAATTTCGAAGAATTTAAACTAACATCTACTAAACTAAAACTCGGATAAATCTACTGGAAAGCAGATAAAAATATGCTAGAGACATAAAGCCATGAAATTCGAATTAAAATACCTAAAAACGAAACTAGAACATGAAAAGAAAATAGAGAAAAATACGAGTTGATCTTCTTATGCCTCTGTGTGTTGTATTTTTTCCTAGTTTTAATCCTAAGCTAGAATAACCACATCTTCCACTAAAAGGGGCGGTTATAATTATTCCTCCACCACTCTCAACCGCTTGGTAACCTCCTACTACTACCTCCAACTTCCTGGTAACCTCCTAACTATCTGATAACCTCCTTCCATCAGCTACCTGGTAACCTCTTTCCATAAGCTCCTAACCACCTGGTAACCTCCTTCCATCAGCTCCCAACCGCTTCCATTGCTTCTGGACCGGGTTCCACTTGCTCTGAACTTCTTCTATTGCCTCTGGACCAGATCTGCTGCTTACTCCGACTTGTTTCCATCGTACTCCTAGCCGGTCCACGGGGATGTGTCCCTAACAGCCTCGAGTTAAATGGAATCTTTGGTTTTCCTCTTGTTAGCTTGTTCTATTGAGCTTTTTGAATAAAGTATGAGAGTGCATAGGCCCTCCACTAATGTTAAGTACGAAATTATTAACCCAGGGCCAACAGAGGTAGTTATCTCATGATCTGTGGAAGCTGTCGCTTTCTATCTTGTGGAGGCAACATTTCTCTACTTTGTGGAAGCACCGCAGTCCAATAGAGGTAGTTGTTTTCAACCAATGGAGAAAACACTTTTTGATTTTATGGAAACATTGTTCCGGGATGGAGTCGTTATAGTCCAAGGAGTTGCTACCCTAAGGTCCATGGAGATTGCTGCTTTCGGCCTTATAGAAGGACCACAATTCAATGGAAACTGTTGCCTTCGGCTCTGTGGAGGCAGCAGTCTTTGGCTCCAAGGCTTGAAGCTCCATTGCTGTTGAGCGGCTCTGTGTCAATGAGCTCTTGCATCATTTTTGTCTTTGAACCTCCTTCTCGTTCAGGTGCTTTTGGATCCATGTCCAACATTATCATACTCCCTCCGTCCCGCCTATTATGTCCATATTGCCGTTTCTATCCGTTCCATATCTCATGTCACTTTCCTTTTTTGGAAAATGATTATATACTTCAATCTCATTTTAAATTTTCTAATTTATTTTTTTTTAAATTTTAATTAAACTAATTAGTTATCAATCTTAATCTATAATGATTTATAGATAATTATTTTCACTAATATATTCTTAATTATCTACTAATTATATTTATTATAAATTCTTGTGTCTGAGGTGACCCAGACATCCAACATGGGACGGATGGAGTAATAAATATGTATTACTGTCGTTTTTTCAGTTATCGAATATAATATATTGTCATTCCGGTGTAATTATCATTTTTCAATTATCGAATAGACTATATTATCATTCCGATAACGGTGAAATATATATTTAAATATCTATTTTCTATTGAACCATTAATTTATATTTATTTATTTATTTTAATATTTTTTTCAAAAATTTTATATTATATTTTTTTATTTTATTTATATATGTATTTATTTTTTATGTAAAAGATTTATATAGATAATAATAATAATAACTAATAAAAAATATAAAACTAATTTGATATATTGAATGATAATATACTAAAATTATAAAATTAAAATTAATAATTTACAATATAGTAGTGTTACAGATAGTGTTACAAATGTTACAATACTTCTACATTATTAATAATTATATTATTTTATTAATATTAAATTTTATTTTATTAATAATTATATTTATAAAAGTTGTGTTTGATATAGATTTATATAATTAATATATATCATAAAAAAATTAAATTACAATCCTACAAAAATCATATAAATTTATAAAGAATTCAATCAAATATGTAGAAATCCATCTAAATCAAATCCATATATATATCAATAGATTTTTTAAAATTAAAAAAAAAAAAATTCATTAAAATCCCAATTAAATTACCCTTCGGCAAGATGTTCAGTTCATTCACTTGGGGCTGAAAAAAAAATTGTATAATGCTGTCTCATTGAAAAATATTTCTGTTGCTTGGCTTGGGTTGTTAAGCAAAATTTTAATTATTTTATTTAAAATTGAATGCCATAAATTGATTAATTTTACATAAATATAAATTTAATATAACATTGAAAAAAATACTAAATTTAAAATTAGAAAGACACTACTTCAATTTTTTAACAAAAATGTAACAAAAAGTTGAGGGAAACGCAAGGACGTCTGGGGAACAAATTATGAAATAGTCTATAATAGCAATAAGAAAAATCACATTCCAGAAGACATTACTACTAAAATACTACTTTCATAAACATATTTAAACTTCATAATCAATTATTGTCTTTGGTACTTGCGATTCGCCAAAATGAAAATCCGCAATTATTTCAGGTGTAAATTTACAAGAAACATGAGCTGCAGGCGCCATGGAGTACTGGGAAGAAGAACCGGTAAAGCTTGATCGGAAAAATGCTACGAGACGGGCAGTGACCACTTTGGATGCAGCAGCAGCATTGGCCTTGGATGCCCTAATCGATTACTGCTGCAATTTTATGTTGTTTCTCTCCTCTCTCTCAAGAATTATGAAGAATTTCGCTCTCTTGTTTTGCAAATTCTTCAAGAGAAGAGAGAAATGATAGAAAAAATGTCCATACATCGATCAAGGCTCCGAAGGTCTGCTACATCCAAAGTAGATACTATCCCCTCCCGTGGCATTTCAACATATCATGCTTTGGCATGAATCCCAAATTTTGCGACCCCAAAGGCTCGGAGAGCTTCGCCAGCTTTAGTTCTTCCTTCCATGTCAGTCAAAGAAGATTTCCCATTCCCATTCCCATTTCCATTCTCCCTCACCTTGCTCTATTGAGTTGGCGAACTGTTAAAACACAAAACACAGTGAGTTCAGGCCACCATATGAAGTAAGAGAACTTCTACATAGTGTAAGTAACGCACAACTTCATTTGAATTAAAAAGCAACAGTAAATTGAAGACTTACCAATAAATAAGCAAATTAGACAGAAAAGGTTACTTATCAACCTGAAATATGGAAAATTCGGAGACTATCCTTCTCTGTAATGTGCAAACACCGCACACATGATTATAAAAAAGCATATACACCCCTTATTTGTACATAAATGGATACATATGTCTGGAAAGCGGTCAAGTGCCAATACCACATGAGGCAATGGAGCACGAACACTTGCCATTTATCAAAATAATGTGACAGAGCAGGAGAAAAAAAGGTGAGTAAAATATGAATTTCCAAGTGATATGTAAAGATTGATGAACAAGGTTATAGTCTCTGAGATAAGTGATAATTCTGCTTCACTTTCACTCATTTGATAAGTCAGAAGAGTGTATGTGCACGATTAAGTATGCGCATGGGCTATTTGTGCGCCATCAATCGAGGGTCAATTCAACAAAGGTTTGAGAATGAGATCAAAACAAGAAACACTGCTACACCAAATAACAGTCCTCAATCGTAACTTCCTCTGAAATACATGGAAATGCCCAGCAGCGATGGAGCTAAACAAAATTATCGAGTTTATCTATACAAATATCACAGAATCAAAGTTCAAATATCCAAAATTGTGATGAAAGCAGCAAAATTTCCAACCAGAATTGAGGCTACTGCAATATTATACTATTGAGTATAGATAGAAACCAACAAGCAATTGAAGCTACTGAATCAAAAGGATCACTTACTGAAGTTAATCGAAAAGCAGGAAATTAGAAGGAAATCCCCTTTTGATGCGAGAATGACATTCCAAGTAACGTCTGGCATTGAACCCTACAAAATAAGACCACCTTTTGTTGTAAAAGACAAAAACGATTGAAAAATTAAGGGTTGCTGGATGAGAAGCTAAATTCCAAAACTATTTTCACAGAACAACAGGGTAATTAGGAAACTGTAAAACTAAGTAGAGAACAATTAAAAAATTTCGCATCCATCCCAAAGTCTGGCCTTAGAAAACTAGCAAAAGGCCAAATTGCATCAGAATTATTAATGTTAAACAATTTAGCTCTTCTGTGCTACCATGGCTACAATGGATAAATGCATAAATAAAGTTAAAAATTCACTGTAAAAGGATTCTACAAAAGTACAGGAAGGAAAATTGATCTATTGCGATCTGCGACCACATACCCATCAAACTGGTGTGTCTATTATGGTACTGGTTACTTACTTGAATGTACTACATGCCAAATGTACAAGGAAAAAGACGCTCATGCTGGCATTTACAAAAATTACAAATCACCTCGAGCATATAATTGACTTCTCAAAAGGAACATTTAAGGATCCCACGTGTTCAACACATGGGGGCTACAAGAGAAAAATTCAATTATAATTTATGATTAATGTCGAAATAAGTATAGATCTGTTGATTACCACCCATCAGTAAAACGGTATTTAATTATATACTAATGGTTTTATGGTTATGGCTTTCATTTTATGATAGTAAGATATGAGGCAGATATTCTTGATTTGTCGCAAACTGAATTTACATGAAATGTATTGATGAAGACTGAATGGTAGGACCCCACAAACACCATCAGCAACACAGTATGATATATTTGAAACTTGAAAGGAAAAAATTTAAAGTTAGCGTTAAAAGAAATATGCATAGTTGTCTAAGCAGACACGTGGCAGACTATAAATGGAAGAGAGATGCAATTCCTAGTATTCAGGGATAAACTGGCTGAGTCAGAAAATTCATTAGCATACCTTGAACCAATCAATGTCAATAGCCTCTGAAGAACAGTGCTCGTTGAGATGGTGGAAATACCGTGCTGAATTTTGTAATGATCTACATAATTATTATCAAAGATAACATTAGTCCAGCTGCGAATCCTTTAAGAGGTATCATGAAATGCATCATGTACCCTTGAAAAAAAAAGAATTATAGGACTCTTTTAGATTACATTCAGAGCAATACAAGCAAAGTGTTGCTGACGTACACATATAACGGATATTTGATCCATATGGCCCCTATCTTTTCCATACTTACGAAACTTTACGCTACAATATAATTTTTAGAAAACTAATGTTTTTTTGTCTAATATAAACACAATCATTTAAATGTTAATTTATGGCTAACTTCCTACCTTCATTAAAATTCAACATTGTATAAAACAATGAAAAACGATTAAATAGATTACAAACATTCCTTTTTTTTTATGTCAAAGAACATTCACCGGAAGATAATTAATATTTTGCGGATACGCACACCAAAAAATGAAAAAGAAATGGAACATTGTGAAAACAAGGAATAGATGATGCAATTATAGTAACGCCTTAATAGTTGAGTCAAATCTTAAGTATGAAAAAATCGAATTAGCATCTATGGGGATATATGTTTCCCATGATTTACACATCATACTCAATCAAGGTCAAATCCCAACTCCATAAAAGATGAGCAACAGGACATATAAAAGTAAGATGCAGCGATCTTTCTCTAGTTAAGAAAAATAAATCAATACACATAATTAGAAAGAGTACTAGTCAATTATACACATAATAAACTACACACGTGCTATCTGAAGCCATAAAGGCAAGCTAAAAAACCAAAAAAAAAGCACCAAAAAAAAAAAAAAACAAAAAACCAATGTTCCTCTAAATTAAACAAAATAATTTGACGAATTAATGAATTCAAATAAAAGAAATTTAAAAAGTTTTACCCGTTAATTTACTCATCTGATGCAATAAGCTAATGTGGAAACATATCATCTCTGTCATCCTTACTTGATAGCAGCAATTAATTAATGAAAACAAATGTCATCTACAAATAATAAAGTGGATCCATGAAATATATTAGGGAATGGAGACAGGGGAATAAAAGCTTCAAGAAGGAGTGGGAATTTTATTGCCTTCATATTCCCTTCCCCTTGCAATGAACAACTATACTGCCTAAAACACATTAATGCACGTATAACAAAAGTACAGATATTGTGCCACTTGACCAATCATATTTACGTTAAGATGAGATTATTTTCAGGTGTCAAAGGTTATAAGTTTCTTGAGCCATCAACTAACAAAAGTATGCAATAACAAATCAAAGAAAGAAAAGCCAAACATTAAGTTGCAGTATTGACTACTATAGACACATTCAAGTATTTATAGCCTTTTTAAGTAGTAAAACCACTAAATTAAGGTAAATCTATAGAAACTGATATCAATGGGCAGTAATTTACAAAAAAAAAAAAGCTGTTATATTGCATAAGCATGTCATTGACGTCCCCAACCTTTTTGGGCTATTGGAGATAATCGGGTCTGGTCCAACAACTCTTGAAGCAATAATCTTGTGCGATAATCCTACAAATGATAACATCAAGAAAACAATCACCACATCGAATGGTGGATATGCACCATTAATCCCAGTTAAACTAATAATTTTATACTCAAAAGTACGTACGTTACAACAGTAGCGAAATGTGCCATCAATAAGGCTTCTCGGAAGCGACTGCCTCAGTGCTAAACTTCTGCAATAAAGTGGAGGTTAATTCCTTCAATATAAATGAAAGAAAAAAGAAAATCAGGAAAACAGTGAAAAACTTTTAAAAAAAGGACTGCATTCATTCACAATATAGCAGACCTTTCATTTTTAAAGAGGCATAGGTAGCAAGTGATGACATCTCTTAGCAGTGGAGTCGAAGGCAGCTGAGAAAGTGAAGCAACCACAGTCCCAAGTGCTTGCCACACAGACAATAACAAATCTGGCCTCCGACACACATGTTGTAACCCATTATCATCAAGCAAAATTCTTTTCAGAATTAATGTCGCTACCTGCCATGAGATATGTTGAAATAGAACAAGAACATAAAAAAACAATCCAAAATGATATATCTGTGTAATAAATTGTCATTATTTTTATATATGTACAACATAAATCATAACAAAAGACTACATAGCCATTCCAATAATTATTTACAACATTAACACACAAAAACAAGAACAGTCTCACATCAAGCAGCAGTAAAATTATGAAAACTAGCACAATCAAGATCCAAAAAAACAAAGGAACAGATATAGGCAACATGAAAGTGAAAGATAGTAACCATAACATACAGGAATCTTAACAAACTAGGTACTATTTCAACAGTCTGGAGTCTGGATGAATGTGACTCGTGAGTCAATCATGTAGCACATGATTCAGAAACTGACATTGCCAATATGATGGTATTAGCTCACCAGATTTAAATGCAATCCATTCAAAATAAAAAAATAAAAATGGACAGATAAATCGTTAAAAAACTAACCGTTCTTGAAAATTCACTTCCTCTCTGCATAGCACATAGGCAGGGACGTATTAGTTCTGCTTCGAGAAGCAGAGAAATCACTCTGGGGTTCGGAACATAAAAATAGAAGCACAGGCATCTCCATTACCAAGATGTGAAAAATACAAGCAATAAATGAAATAATGGATAAGAAATATACACCTCGAAGCCACAGAAAGTAAAGATTCGTCCCTCTCACAAAAAAAAAGGGGAGAGACAGAGAAGAATTACAATCAAAACAGTTGGATCTTGCTGCTGCCTCATGCTTGGGTTGAGAAAAAAATTATGCACATGAAGATGGGAAAAAACACTGCTCTTAACAAGTGCAAAAATATACACACACACACACACGTATGAGAGAGAAAAACAGGTGTGCACCAGTAGCATGTGTACACTTCCAAATGTAACAAGAAGAATATCTGGTACCTGTACCAGAGCAGCTATTATTCCCAGTGTAAGGATCCTTATGCGCTCAAAACACCTCAATTCACCTATCTGGTTGAGAAGCAAAACCAAATAGAAGGGCAAGTAGGCTGAAAAAGTACCAAAAAAAAAAACAGTACACTTAGAACTCTCTGCCCATGAGAACAGACACAAACAAAGAGCCTACAATACGAGGCTTAGTTTACAAAAAGAGAACTCCATACAGAACAGGAAGATGTACGAAAAAAGAAAAGGGTACCTTGAACGAACAAAGATCTAGTCTCTTGGTGAGAGGCAACGCACTGTAGCAACCACATAAAACAAGAGAATTGAAGAACTGAATGCGCAGAAATTTATGATATGATTTTGCAACATATAACTTCAGTATATCAGCAGAAGAATGCATCAAACCTGAATAAGTGTCAGAACATTGCACAATCTATCAGACTGTATGGGAGTTAGAGATGGTGGTGACAAAAATGGATACACGGAAAGCACTTCCTGCAGGCAATAAACGTAAGGTATCAGATACGGGAGACACGACAAGCAGTTAAGAATAATAGATATTTTTAAAGCAACAAAAAGAGGATAAATTTTAGAAAAACAACAATAAACATGTATATTCCACAAAGAATCTATCAATACAAACATAATGAATGTGATACAATAATAAAATCCAAAGATGATCTTCAAACAAAATTTAATATACTCGGAACAGTTGTAAAAAGTTACCATTTATCACCACTCATTATCAGGACCAACCACCCTCTTTAGAAACTTCTTCATAAACAAATGGAGCAAAAAACCACATACCTTTTTAAACATTTTATATATAATCATAACTCTGAAAAAAAAATTCAGTGCAGATATGAGAATCAGAATGTTTCAAGGTAGCTTTGTATATGTCGACAATGAAAAAGCACATCACATTTTTGTTTTTCATTGCAGTAATAATCTTTAAAGACTTTCCTTGGAGAAAAATTAGGGTATGTAAGTCAACAAATACATCAAACAAACCTCAATACCTGTAAGAGTATGGCAATTGTACCAAAAGAAAACCATAAGCGTACGGCAAAATCCTGGAATCCCCGCGCTCTCTGTTGGAATAGAAAGGGAGTACATCAGTAATACAACAAGCAATCAACTAGAATAACGACTTTGAAAAATAGGCTTTTGTTCATTGAATGAATACATGTAAAAATGTAACCAGATAAAGCCAATATTAACTCAATAAAGTTACAAGACACGAAATAGATCTCAGTTTTCAAGAACCTAAAATAATATTTTGATTTCAAAGTTTAGCTCAATTGAGATATAGCCGTATCTTACACACATGCTAGCTTGTATATCTTTTGTCAATTGACAATTCTACCACAATTGGAAGGATAATAACATCGTATCCCTGTCTGAGTGCTCAAATCTCATATTTCTAGGCTTTTCTAGACATGTTCAAGTGCCATTTCACCAAAACACAAATAACTTATTTTTCCAAGAGACTAAGGAATAATTAAACAGTTGATGAACATTCACAGTAGCAAAAAATACAGATCTTTGAGGATGAAATTGTGCATACCCTAGCAAGATGGGCAAGGGCATTTTCACGCAATCTGCTATCCATGAGATCAATAATGAGTCGATTAGTCGTTGTTTCGTCCTCGGCTGCAACTAAAGATCTAGGAGGGCCTCGTGAATGCGAGGCATCGATTGTAGGGCTGGAAGCAGGAGGGTTAACGGAAGGGGAAGGAGAAGAGCCCAATGAACCGTCGGCGCCACGTAGGTCGAAAAAAAACGGCGAGGCATTGCCCGACGAAACGCTGCGGGACGGGGCGGCGACAGATTTGGATGCGGCGGTTTTGGCCTTGGACCTTCTCGGCATTTTTGGTTTCATTTCTCACGGCTCTCAGATGAACCTGGTCTGGTCTGAGTTTTTGGCTGCGGTAGGGATTTGTTGGGAGCTCTTGGGTGAGTGAGGTTTTTGATGAAATTCGCCGATGTCGATGACTACGAGGTGAAAAAAAAAAAAAAAAAAAAAAAACCATATTTGAAGTCCGGCGTGCAGGAGTTGACACGTGCCCAATTTCGTGTCAGCATAGCATGTTGGGCTTTGGGCCTCCACATATGTTTGGGCCTAAGGTTATAAATATATAAACTATTCAGAAGCGGGAGACTTTTCAAACATTTTCTATTAATAGTATTGATTTACTTTTTGTTAAAAAAAAATAATAATATATATTAAATATTTTTTATTTTTATAATTAAGAAAAAATTTTACATTAAAAATATTAAATTATTTATTTACATCACGGTCAACTAACTACTTAAATTAATACTCCCTCCGTCCCACATATCATGTCCACGTGTCAACGTTGCTGTTTTTGTCCGTCTCATGTTTCATGCCACTTTTCTTTTTTGGAAAATAATTATACATTTTAATCTCATTTTAAACTTTTTAATTTATTTTTTTAATTTTAATTAAACTAATTAGTTATCTTAATCTTAATTTATAATTATTTATGTTATAGGATAATTATTTTCACTAATACATTTTTAATTATCTATTAATTACACCCCTTCTAAAATACCGTGAGTATTTAATATTCACAACTTAAATTTAAAACTCAAACCCTAATTAAAAAAACACATTCGACGCCTCCAGGTCTACCTGCTCCGCATTGTTCGTCTAGTGTAACTTGTCTTGTCGAGCCTAGTTTTCAACCGAAAGTTTACCCAGTGCGCACTTTCGAGTAGCGGCTGTGGTTCTCACGTCATAAAAAAAAAAAAACAAAATGCCACCATATTTACCTCTTTGAAGCCTTCCCTCCCTAACCAAGAATAAACCTGTCTGTTGGCTCACATTTAATAACTGAATTTGAAAGATCTTTCTCCGTTGCCTCTACCGTCACCCTTCTTTGTGTGTATTATATTCCAAATTTTACCTTCAACCTCATATTTGTAAGCAATCTTCTAAAACACATTATACTCTTGCATTATCTAAAAATATCTGTCTTGTACAAGACTGAAGATCTATAATCACTTTGACCACTGGATATCAAATTCAAAATCTCTACATTCTTCTCGGGACCTATTATTTTGTTACTGTTGCCATAGAAGATTGTGCTCTTTGAAATTTTTATTTTGGCAATATCTCAGTAAATAGATTGAAATACTTCCAATTTGTTCTCGCATATGATATCAAACCATGTGACACTTGCCACAAGACTAAACAACCTAAACATCCACTCAATAAAAGTAAGTCATGTGTTGCTTCTATTTTTTAGTTGATCCATATGGCCACTTGGGATCCTTGTCAAACTCCTAGTCTAAATAGATGTTACTATTTTTATTTTTTTTTTCTATTATAGACTATTATTTTAGAGCTAGATGGACTTATTTGTTGCCCAATAAACAAAATGTTCATCAAGTAAATGAAATATGTACGCGTGTCGCACAGCTGCAAAATAAAGTATCAGCTCTTACGATATAAAAAATTGCAAAATGCAGTAGTTCGGTGAGTAGGGTCGTCTCCGCAGGAAATAATAACAATCTTGAATATTTGGTTATTTATAACTATATATATAATGGGGGGGGTTGATTTATCAAACTAATTTTGAGAAAAATAAATTCATTCAATAAAATAAAATAAAATGCAAGATGGTTTACCAAATATAATTAAATTCTAACATAGGCATGAATTTTTCTGTTTGGGATATAAAATTTGTTCATCGATTAAAAATCAAGTTCATTGACTAGTTGGATAAATTGGTTATAGTTGATTTACACGCATTCACAACTAACCTTTCCTTAATTTGTGGATAGTTAAGGTATGACCGTTAGTTATTTCCCTAATCAAATGAGAATCCTAGGTACGATCGTAGTTTTACTGACTCGACAGCTTTAAATACTAGAAAGACCCAATTCAATTTAACAAAATTCCTGCGCAAATTTGTTTAAAATTGATTCTAATTCTTCCCTAGAGTATTCCTCTAGATTGCTACACAAATTAGAAAATTACACAATTACGGGTGTCAATCTCCAATTTAGAATCAATTTAAGATTTCTAAACTTATAAATGAGAAGAATTAGAAATACTCAATATCGATGAACACCAAATTAAACAAAACCAAGTCTCACAAATTCAATCTCAAACATCAATTCACACCTACATTAGAAATGAAATTACTCGGAATTCATAAAAATTAAAAACAAAAAACAATTGAAAAAGTTCATCATGCCTTCAATTCCTTAGATAATAGATAAGGAAGCACAAGAAGAAGAATGCCCTGAAAAGTTGTCTGCAATCCTTCTCTAAGTTCTCAGCTCTGCCTCTTTTTTCTCCATTTTTTTCCTTCTTGAAAATGGTGTCGTGGTGAAGAACGTGGTAGTCCCTTTCTCTCCATCTTCAATTGCAAAATTGTGTCTCTTCATTCTTCATCCCATGATCCATCTTTTAATTAGATCCCCTTTGCACTTAAATCCTTGCATAATCTTTATATTTTCAATTTACCTCGGATAGTCTTTTTGTAAATTTTCATATTTTTCACATTGTACTTGCGTGATCACGCCTAAGGCTTTTATGCGTTCTGCTCATTTTCTTCCAAATACGTCTTAAAACCTGCCAACTCCATGAAACCTATTACACAATAAAAAATACACCATGAGGAGCATATATACAAAATTTCGCATCAAAAAATTGCCCAAAATATTATCATATATAGCACATATCAAAATATTTGTCTTGTATGACCAAACTCATTTTAATAGTCCAATAAAGTTCATCAGATCTAACAATGACTCTAAAATTTTATACTTTAAATGAAAAGATTTGTATGCAAAATATAGCAATATCCATAAATATTATTGTTCTCATATATCCCAACAAAATAATAGAGTAGAGATCAAGAACAAGCATCTTTGCAAGTGACTTGATCTTTACTCTCTTTTTTTTTGCCTCTTTGCCTATTAAATACTGCGGCGATGCCTCTCTTCATGCCACCTACATCCTGAATGGAGTTCCCTCTGTAGTGTTGAATTCATTATCATCTTATCAATTCTTATACAAAACTATGTTCATTTATGATCACCTTAAAGTATTTGTTTGTTTGTGTTATGCTATCAATACTGCCACCATCCTTTATAAGATGTCATAATTACAAAAAGTTAAAATTTAGTTACAAAAAAAAAAAAAATTGTAGCAAAAGGTAATAATTCAAAGAAAAAATATTTTTGCGACGAAATGAGTTTCGTCGTCTATACCACGTTATTAAAGGTCTTTGGCATGACTTTCATAACAAAAAAATAAGTTTTTTGCAATAAAAATCAAGAAAAGAGATATAGCTACAAAATATTCGTAGCTATAGCTCTTTTGTTATAAAATTAAAATTCATAACAAAAGAATTTTAGCAACAAAATATGTATGATTGTTTTAGCCAAATGATTTTAGTTATGAAAAATAATTTTGTAGCTAAAACCTTTTTCTATGAAGATAGAATTTTCTAGCAGAAAATTTTAACGACAAAATTAATTTTGTAGTACATAATTTATTCTTAACGTAAAATTAATTTTTGTTACTAAATGAAACATTTTAACTACAAAAATATTTTGTAGTTAATAATATTGTAATTGAATAGATACTTTTTTGTAATGCACCCTATGCCCTAAGGTCCATTTCTCTTGGATATCCAGCTGACCAAAATGGATTCAAGGTTTATTATCTTGATACACATAGAAACTTTGTCATAAGGCATATTATTTTTCTATTAAAATATTTTTTTTGCCTCTATTTCAGCTCCTACGACTTCCACCTCTCGCATTGGAACTTTCTCTCAAGCTATTGTTTCTTTTCCTATCATTGATGAGTCTTATCTTATATTTTCTCTTCTTTAGTCTGAAGTTGATCTTGTCTCTACTAAAATACAACCATTTATTGATTCAACATCATCCTCTGCCATCCTTGAACCAAATTTTGTCAGCCTTGAACTAATCTCTACTAGTGTTTCCCTAGCTGACTTAAATCATCCCTTTTACTCCATCATTTAAGATCAACCTAGTGAACATCCTTCTATCTTACCTTCTCGGAAACATAAACAACCCTCTAGGTTTAAACACTATGTTTGCAATGCAAATTACCCTAAACCAAACATTCCCAATTTGTATTTCCAATATATTTTTTCCTCTGTTCATGATCAAGAACATACGTCATACTTTCATGATTCGCGAGATAAAGTGTGGATTGAGGCAATGAACACTGATTTGAAGACTCTGAAACATAATCATACTTGGGAGTTGTCCACGTTTCCTATTGGAATCAAACTTATATCAAGTAAATAAATTTTTAGAATCAAAAGAAAAGGTTGATGGTAGTGTAGAAATGTATAAGGCATGATTTTTTGCCAATGAATACCAACAAATTTACGGGCAAGACTATATATATTTCTTTGCTCCAATTGCAAAGGTTATGACTCTTAAAACTTTGCTTGCAGTAGATTCACACGGGTCCTAGGAAGTTCATTAATTAGACATCAATAGTGCTTTTTATCATGGTCATTTGGACGAAAATATTTACATGACTACTCCACAAGGATACAAGATTCCTCCTGGACATTCATGAAAGCTAAGAAAGTAATTTATGGCCTTAAATAGGCTCCAAAACCATGCTACATGGAATTCACATCTATACTACTGGAATACGACTTCTCGCAATCAACTTATGATCATTACTTGTATATTCTGGCTCAACATCAGAGATTAAATTTTTGGCTAGTTTATGTTGATGATATACTTATTACAAACAATACTGCTTTAGTTATTGAAAACATAAAAAAGGATTTTATACCAATAATGCACAATCAAGAATTTAGGCTATGAAAATATGTTTTTAAGAAGGGAGATACTCTAGTGTGAAGAGAAATTACCCGTAGTTTAAAACCAATTTGTTGAGAATATTCAGAAGTTGACATGTCCAATACCACCCCAATATGATACTATTTTTAATTTTTTTT